AGCTTTTACTATAATACCTGTCCTAGTCTATTTTAACTCTTCCAAGAAAATTTATATTAAAACTAATATATCGAAATTCGTAATTACTAGTACTATTTTATAATAAGTTAATCCTAGTAATAACCTAAAAAAATACTAGTATCTAGTAGTATTCTAGTCCCGGAAACTCTCCAGAGCCAAATATAATTATAGTACTTATAATAGGGAGCTACTTATAATTATTAAAGCCTTTAAGCATTAGCGCCATTACCTTAAAGGGTCCAGGTTCACAATTAAGATTATTATAGACCATAATAACCTCTAATACTTTATGAAAATAAAGTATCTAGAGAATTATTAAGTATATTAGGTAATATATCTTATAATATATAATTTTAATATTATTTATTATAGAGGCGCCTTAAACCTAGCAAACGAACCTAGTAAAAGACCTAATTATAAAGAAGGTCCTATTAATATGACTTGGCTTCTGACCTTTTAGAATAAGTTAAAGGAAGCTTTTATAGTTATAATTTAGAGGTTCTTATAAATATCTAAAGAGTTCCCTCTTTAGAATAGGCATTATTTAATACTTGCCATATCCATAGTAGCTAAGGAAAAATATTTATTATAAGATAAGTAAATAGATTATCTTATAAATCCCTTAACTATAAAATTAGTTAAGAAGCAAGGTATGGGGAAATGCCTTAAAGGCTCCGCTACTATAGCTAAGGTAATAAGGGTATTTATAACCGTATTACTTAATAAAACCAAAGATTTCTTAGTTCCCCGAGTTTTTGAATTAGATAATTACAAATACCTAATTCCCCGTATATAGATATACGCGGCTACTAAAAGAGCTATAGCGCTAGCTTCTCTATCTAAATCCCTTCTAGATATTATCTAGGTAGCTTAGAGAAATAATTCTTAATATTAGAATATTATGAAATAAAGGCTTAGTAAGAAAGATACTAAGGGAAAAGAAATCTAGAAAAATAATTCGGGCCTACTCAGGTACTATTCAAGAATTATTATACCTAATAATCCCGCTTTACGTTAAGAAGTCATAAAGCTTTATTATAATAACCTAATAGCTAGATACTATAGAGTAAAGAAAACTCTCGAGCTCCTTAGAAGGTCCTAGTATTAGAAGAATATAGAAGGAGATATTTGCGATTATTATTAAGAATATAATATTTACTAGAGAGTTAAGGCAAAGAGGCATTTACTATATGGCCTGCTTAGTAATTTACTATAGCCTAAGAAACTCTGGGGTAAGATCTCTATAGATTTTATTATAGGTCTACTATTATATAAGAACCTGGCAAGAGGTCCTGATTTTAATATAATTCTTATAATTATTAACTAGTACTCTAAAATAGCAAGGTATATTATATGCCATAAGACTATTAACTCTCCGGAGCTTGCCAAGATTATATAGGAATATGTTTTCTTGATTTTTAACTTCCCTAATAGAATTATTTCCGACTAAGAAATAGTATTTACTAGCTAGTTCTAGTTCGCTTTCTGCTTCTACTTAATATATAAATAGTATTTAAGTATAGCTTACTATCCTTAGATAAATAGTTAGACAGAAAGGCAGAACCAGGCCCTGGAATATTACCTAAGATATTATTATAATACCTAAAAAAATAACTAGTTTAAGAAGTTATCTTTTACGGAATTTATATATAATAACTCAAAATATTAGGTTTTATAGGACATATCTTTCCATATATATTACGGATACTATCCTTAACTTCCATGAAATCCTAAAAACAGGATTATAGAAGAAGTACTAGCTATATATAGGAGGCTAGAAATCCTTAAAGTAAAGTAGAGAAAGCTTAAGGATTTATAGTATTATATATAAAATAACCGGGAAACCTACTATAATAGGTACTAGTTAGCTAAATACTACTCTAAAGAAGCCTGGGTAATACTATTAATAAGGAATATTAAACTTAAGGCAGGAAAGCTTAAGCTAAAATTTATAGGTCTGTTTAGGATCCTTGAATATATTAGTAATTTAGTATATAAGTTAGAATTACTAAGTATATATAATTATTTATATCTAACTTTCTATATTTCCCTTTTTAAAAAGTATATAATAAAAAAGAGTTAGGAGCTATACCTATACTTTTCTAGAGAACTTCCGGAATTAGCAAATAATAATAAAAAATAAGAATAGGAAATAGAAGCCATTATTAATTACTAATAAGATAATAGAAGCAAGAAGTAATAGTATTTAATTAAATAAAAAGCCTGGCCTAAAGATTATAATACCTGGTTACCTGCTTTCCCTAACCTTAAAAATTCCAAGGAACTTCTAAAATCATATAACTAAAATCATGGCTTAGAATCCGAAACTATCTCTTAATAATTTCTTAAGATTAAAAAGAATTCTGGACTACTAAGAAAAAGGCTACTTAAAAGAAAGAGAGGACCTAGATAGCCAAGAAAAGGCCCGGAATAGTAATAGAGATACTCTTTTCCTAGGTTTTTTACTTATAAAGATTTTCCAGGGTTTTATTAAGGCTTATGAGAATTATATTTAAATTATTAGAAAAAGGTTCAGGATTAAGAAAGATTTATTATAGGTAGACTAGTTACGGGTATCTTAAATAAATAAACTCTAATTCTTATAAATTCCTAATTCCCAAAGCAAGAATACCAGATACCGGCCCTATTTAGGACTTAGTAAAGAATTTGCTAATACTTTCCGGAATCCGCTTATCTCTTAACGGGACATAGTTATACTATAATAATATTAGTATTAAGGATATTAAGAGAAGCAAGTAAGGAACTTATAATAGCCATATATATCTTATGGAAGGCCCGAACTTCTAAAGTCAGGTCCCGAATAGCCATAAGCATTATATTATTAGTACTTAAAGTACTAGTAGTAGACTACTTAGTAATCTTGGTAATAAGCTCGGTAATAAGGTTAATGCCTTAAAAGTAAATATTACGGTATTTCTTTAAGGAATTAGTAAGTACCTAAGTATATTAGAAAAAACTTACTTTTAGGACACTAACCCAAGTAGTATTATTATCTGCCTTATTGAGACGGGAAGAAGAATTCCAAAGCTTATTAGTATTTTTCTAGTCTTTAAAAACCTAATTAATAGTATTATCCTCGTTAGTATAATACTATTTAGAATATACTTTAAGAAATTTCTTAAAAGTTATAATAATATCTTCCTAGAACTAGCAAGCCTCTAATAAGTAGCGAGAAATCTGAAATCACATTAGCTTTAATAGATATTAAAGCTAAAGAACTTACTAATATATAAGACTTAGAACCCTTGTTATAACGGTTATAATTCTTCTTGCCAGGTACTATAGTATATAAGGTAAAGAAATTAATAAGTAAATACTTAAAATATTTCAAGTATCTACTAGTAATAGGAAAGGAGGCTATGAGGTTACCTTTGCGCTTATTATTATAGGGACAGATAACGAAGCTAGAAGAAGACATTATGGAATTAATTAAAAATAATTAAAGAAGACTTAGAGAAGGGCAAAAGAAGAGGCTAGAAGGTAATAATAGAAAAAGTTATATGTATGGTTATTAGAAAGGAAGAGAGCACGTAGTAACGCGAAGAGATCCTTTTATAGAGGTAGAGAACTACCTGGATTAACTACTAGTTTTCGTACTAGTCCTAATCAGAAACCAGCGTAACCGATTAACGTATGCTCCCAGAAGCCCGTAAATAATCTCCAGGACCTCAGAAATATTCGCATGGGTTTCTTATACGAATATTTATTAAATACTTTCCATATAGCTATTCAGATTATTCTAATACGAGATCTGACAGGTAGCGTTAGTTTCGTGGGATAGCGCCTTAGTACTTTGGATCGAGCTAATTAGAATACTCAGATCCCAAATGAAATCGCGATTACTGGCTAGCCCCCATACCTGGGATATAATTACCCTTTCTTCTCGCTTACTCAGCCCTGATCTGATTAGACGATTTTTACGTCTATTATCCAGATCACATTAGCAAAACCACCTCCCAAGATACTAGAAGTTTATATTAATTAAATGAATAATTAATTAAATGTTTACTAGAATAGATTAATGGATCTTGGGGACAAGATCCTAGGAGGGGGGCATAGTTATAATATATATAGGGACGCACGTGACTTAAGGGCATGTAACGAACCTCGGATATCGCAGGTATTAATTAGGGAGTTCGGCAGCCCTTCGATATCCTAACCAACTACTATTTATATTATATGCATTAGGCTTATAAATCACTAATTATATATATGCCATTAGGGCCTCCTATTTAGAGGGGGCTTCCCTGGACCTTATAGGAGGGACAGAGATTAGTTCTGTACTAAATTTAATACTGTGGTTTCATAATACACTAATTCATTCTATTGTCTTATTGCCTACTAACAAACACCTCATAATTAATTAATCTAATAATAATATATAATATTTATTTATAATATATATAATATAAATACTAATATAATTAAAATTCCACTAATAAAAACTTAAGTAGCAAGTATTTATATAAGAGAGTAAAGATTCTTTAAGCTATTTCTAATATTTTATAAAGTAAGGATTTAATAAATAAAATATTTCGAATTATAAAAAAGATTATATAAAGTAATTATATTTACTAAATATATATTTTGCAAAGAAGTATTCTAGCCCTTAAATAGACTTATATAAACTAGTCTAATAGTATTAGTAATTATATTAAAGGATTATAAGTAATTCTATAACCTGACTATAAGAGTAGTAAAGAGAAGTTTATAAGGAGATAGCTATATTAATTAATAGTTTAACTCTTTATCTTTACCGAGGAGAACTATAAATGAGCTAAGGTCGAAAGTCCACTCGTTGGTATTTGCATAAGACATTTTGAAGGTGTATAGTCGCTCGTTTTTCGGCACTCCCGTGGGATGGATAGGTGTTAAACGTACTACTCTTGGTGGCGCGGTTGGGGTACAGGGTAATTTACACAATCTCACACCGACGGCAGGATCATGAAACGCAAGCTAGCCATTGGATTTTTCTACGAAACCCGAACCTCATTAAAGACCTAGCCCAAATTCGACGGAGGTGTCACTTGACTCAATTACTCAATAGTGATCTCTTCTTCAACTCCGCTTTCCACAAACATAGAGAGCTTTGCTTTAAAATGCACCTCTTCAATTCCACTTACCATGTCACCAACATATCGATATGGACATCTAGTTGATATTCCAACCCGCTTATAGCTCCCTGATTTCATTTTCTGAAGCACCAGAAAAGCGTGGTAATATGAGGCTGGCTCGCCGCTGTAATCCGTACGTCCGATATACAGGCATGAGTATTCTTCGCTATCGTGGGCCATTGTTAGTACGTCGTCGCAAATGAATGGGAAGGATTCCCCTTGAACATTGCGAATATGGCACACGATATCATTTGTAGAGCCTGCAAAAGAGTCTTTATTCGTAGCCTTCCTTGTCGTAACCTGAAGCCCATGGCATACTGGGCCACTGATTCTGAGGTTTCCAGATTTAACTTCACCGTATTCCTCTTCCTTGTGGAGTAGCTCGATGGAAATATCGAGAACTGTAGCTTTTGGAAGAAATTTGTTGATAGGGTGATAAGCCACAGGTGCCTCAACTGACGCCCAACTCCAGCTAGGTGCTCTGGGTTCCGTGGTATCCGGCCTTCTCCATTGCATTTTTGGGTCTCTCAGGGTCCGGGCATAGTCAGACTCAACTACCCAGAGTAGAGACTTCATAATATCTCCCTTCCAAATGCCCGCTAGGTACTTGACAGCTTCTTCGGGCTCATGTATCCGCAGTATCGTAGCAAATTGTCTCGCAAGTCTAGATAATGCCACAAACTTGTCGCTGTCTCTTTTGTGGCCCAGCTGGCGCTCGGAGAAGAGTACCAGAATATCGCGCCAATGTCGATATAGTTCTTCTACCGTGAGACCCTCCGAATAATTTTCGTTTCTCACTACTCGATTCGATGAGTTGATGCCTCCAGCTTCGACCTGTACACGACGCCCGCATTCACACCAACGCGCTTCGTTGCATTCCCATACCAGCTCCTCTGAAGTATAGTGTAGCATGCGATTCGAGAAAATGGCTTCCGGCAGCGTCCAGGCGCGCATATTGATAGGTTCGGTTAAGCTCATAGGTGAAGTCGGCAGCCGCTGCAGAAGTGCATTATCGTCATGCATACGAGCGAGCTGTTCGCGGACGTAAACAGGCGCCCCGGAAGTTCCATACAGAAGCTTATGTGGCGCCTCACCAAAAACTTGGTCTCTATAGATCCCCTCTTTGTTGCCCTCTGCAGCATCGGCTCCCAAGGTTAAAGTAGCATTTGCGTAGACGCTGGCCATCCTGGGACTTTCCCGTTCAAAGTCCGGGACGGGCCCCTGGAAAGACTGCCTGCCTTGAACAATGCAAAGAGCATCAATCCAGATATACTTGAATTTTAAACGGCGACAGATATCAATTGCGTCCCGGATTGTCTTGGGCATGGCATCTGGCGAGGACGGAATTTCCTTGCAATGTGCATCATAATTCGAGGGTAAAGTCTTCAAGACCGCGGTTTTATCGTCACCCCAACAGTAACTCAATGCGATATAATCTCCGTGGCCGCCATTCGTTTCCATTAGGAAGGGTTGTGACCCACTCACGTCAATAACCCTGGTTGGCAAGGGAGTCGGTGAACGAGCGTGGCAATGTTGATGGGAGGTGCGGCATTCTTGAATCCATGAAGATGCAAGCGTGATGCAAGTACCAGAGGACGAGTTTTGGCTGACTTCTAGAGTTTTTCCGATGGTTGCAGGCACAGAGCCCTCGTCAACTGAAAACCCATATATGAGCATTGTAAGGCTGAACTAGGGTCTAAGGAATGGTCACCATCTCGAGTAAATATCTCAATATAGATCACAGGCTCTCGTCGCCAATATAGCTGCAGATGTTCTCCGACGGCTAACCTGAGCTCGAGAAAGTTACCATCATCGCCCTCTTGGTGATCTTTCTTGTACAGACTCAATGCACCAAGCAACAACTTGCAGGAAGCACATGACGTGGTCGTAGCAGAATTTCTGAGGTCTGACAGGAGAATGAACATAGCAGCTCGCTGACCTGCGCGCAGGCTATACAGATGGACCGGAAGAAGATCTGAACAATTTGGACACGACATCTCGAGCTGTTGAATACGTCTAGAAGAGCCCACGGGCTGAAATTTCAAGTATGAAAGTCACCATTTCTATCACACATCGGCTAATCATGCCGTGCCCCAAATTGAGATTGATCTGCAGTACAGTATTTGTCCTAAGCCTCGTGGTGGCTTTTTCTAACAACCAATCCATATGCGACACGTCACCAAGACTCGCAGCAGAACTAAGCCTTTAGTGGCATCGCGAGGCTCCAGGCTCACAGAACATTTGCCCTATTCTTTGACTGGAGGATACTAGTCATATCGAATTCTATCCTAAACTTTCAGATTCATGGGGACCATGATGCAGTACGCTTAGGGTTGGCTGAGTGACAGGTACGGGCTCCTTTAAGGACGCTACGGCATCTATTATTTTTTTCGCAAAATCAAAATTGCGATATTTTAAAAATGTGAGATTATTAATAATCTAAGTAATTCCTATGGTAGAATATAATTAAAACAGTCGATCTATATGGTGTTTTATCGCATTCCATGGTGGGAATGCAATAGGGTGGGAAAATTAATAAAATGCACGTGACATGCCCCCTTGTAACTACTAGGCCACTGGCATACTCCTTTTATATTTCTGTTCCTTTATTATTATCTTTAATTCCTTAATCTTTTATTATTAATCTCTTTATAATGCCTCGTTTAAGGATTAATATCGACTGCTATTAAGCCCATATCCTTTGTTTAATTAGGCAATAATTATCACATGACGAGATTATGGAGAGGTTAAAGCACGACTTTAACGTCGATATTTCCCCTAGAACTTTACGCAATAGGCTTTCCGATTGGAAAGCGCCTTCCCAGCGTTCGATATTTGAGCCTTCTCCTCAGGTAAAGGCTCTTATCGCCTGGTTCTTTTGTGATATCCATACTACTAATACTAATATACTTGCTAACCTCCGGAGCTTAGGATACAATATTCCTAATTTACGACTATTACAACATACTCGCCGAGCTATGGGCCTTCGACGTCAAATGCTTAATTCGCACGTTGAGCTAGAAAAGAAGCAATTACGCCATATTCTCAAGTAATATATAATCGATAAAGGCCCACAAGGCAATACTAGAAGTTATGGCTACCGGCTTCTATATACTTATCTCAACTCCCTAGGGAATGGCCAGAAGTTTTCTAGGAATAGAATAGCTTCTGTAATACAGGAACTTGATCCAGAAAGCATATAACGTCGCTGGGAAGAGATAAAGGCAGCTAGGGGGGAATATAATATTCATGGGCCGAACTTTGTTTGGTCCATTAATGGCTATTACAAGGTAAGTATAGTATATACTTAACTTCAAAAATCATTATTTCAATAACTACTAATCCGTTTGCTTAGCTACGATTTTATAGGATTAAGATATATGCCGGTATTAATGCCTACTTACGGTTTATACCTTGGATTTATATTGGAATCTCAAATGGCTGTGCTATAAGTAATAGTATTTCCTAATTCGGTACGGATATATTCCCTCGAAAATGCCAATATTTACTTAGTTATAATCCCGGCTATGTAATTCTATAGTATTATAGAGAACTAGTTATTTGAATTACACTTAATTTAGGTAATAAAACCCCTGAATCTCCATATTACATTCTCCTTTGGCCTAATTAATATTATACTAATATATTTACTTAGTCGTGATTCCGGCTATGTAATTCTATAGTATTACAAAGAACTAGTTATTTGAATTATACTTAATTTAGGCAATAAAACCCCTGAATCTCTATACTATATTCTCCTTTGGCCTAATTAATATTATACTAATATGCACTTACTTATGCCACCTTCTAGGTTACTATCCTAGTTTAATACCTTGACTTGGTAGACGAAATAGAGGTTATTCCACTCTATATTCGATTAGATAGAGGATGCGAAACGCCCATGGTTATAGATACCTATTATATCCTCTATAAAGCAATATACTAGACAAGGGGTATTAATTCATATTAGTTCTCAGATCTCTATTAGTTCGGGACTAGTACGGCTAATTAATATATTAAGGCATGGTAGGGACAAATTGCGAAGGTAATTTATCTATACTAATCCTATATAGACTTATTTAATTAGCTAATATTATATAGGGCATACTAAATAAATAGAAGATATTTTTTAAGTAATTATACTCTCAAAGGCTTTATTCTCGTAAGCTTCTCCCCGATTATATAGCTATGCTTTTCGTCTATTTGCCTATTATACGAGAGTAAACTAAGGAGTTTATTCGGGTATGGAATATCCATTTAATTAGGAAATAGCCTAATCGTCCACATATTATTCCTGGTTAACCCTTCTAGAACTACATATTTTCAGAGCAAATGGGGGTCAGGGACTATGAAATTCCTATTAATATTAATAAACTAAACGAGCTATATAAAGGATATGCTAGCTATAATAAAGACGCATATTTACCGGAGGTTATACTTGAGTAGTATGAGCAAGAGCTTAAGGATACCGGCTTTATTCTCCTAATTATAGAGTCTATATATAACTCGAATAGAGATCTAAACCACCTGAGTACCTATATATATTTAAGGGAATTAATTACCGACTACCTAATTAATATGAAGAATGCTTATCCAAAGCTAGGGCTTTTATTAATACCCAAGGATATATATAATTAGAATCTATTACCAGAGGTAGCTGTGGGACTAGAAGAGGCAAGGCTAAAGAATTATAATAATTAAGATAGTATTTAGTTCATTAATAAAGGGAGAGATACTAGCTATAGAGATAAAGATCTCATCTATATTAGCTCTAATAATAAAGCAGAGGTTGAAAATAATGCAAAGGATACTGGATTTACTATAGATAGTATTACTTTTAATAGGGCAAATAGTAATTAGGTCATAAATAGTCAAGAGTATAGGTAGTTTATGAATAATGGATACGTATCTGAGCCTGAAGCAGAGGAGGAGGATAATCTAGAAATTCCTCTAGTAAATATTAGACGATTTACCCGGTAATAGAGAAGCTAAACGGGAACATATTAATATATATCCCAAAGAAAGAACTAGCTAAAAACATTAATATTTACTAAAGTAACTAAATATAGAAGTTAATAGTAGTCTACTTAATAAGTCAAATTCACATAGTTACAGGTGGTTTAATATTAAAAGGTCACATGATTTACCTCCTCAAAAAATCGACCCTTGCCCCTTTATTTTTCATATCCCCTATAATTATATTATTAACTTATCGTTTTAGTAGTAAGGACTTTATAGTATAGATCAAATTCTCCGTTAATACTAGCTTTATTAAATTAATAGTTCTTGAGAACTTTTAAAGTAATTATAAGACATATTTAATGAAAATATCTCTTTATATATGGAATTTAATTTTCCCCCTTTAATTCCTATAACCTCTTACTAAATATTCTATAGCCCCTAGTATAGGAAACCATGTTTTAAATAATAATAATGCTAGGGATAAATAAAATAAATCTAATTTTAATTTATACTAAGGGGCATTCCTTATAGTCCTTATATTTATTTCTTTTTATATATTAGTAATATGCCACTATTAATAATCTTCGAAATAGGTCCCTAGTATATAAATTATTAAGGGAAAAAGTTATAGGGGTATAGGCTAAAGGATTAAAATAATATTAATATATTATAGTTCTATCCTACTAATTATCTTTACACTACTATTTACTAAACTACTAGATTTATTAGCTATACTCTCCTTCTAATATTTGATTATAAATCAAATCCTTATTCTTTTATCCCCAAACGTTTATAATAAATAATATTAATCTATAGAACTCTTGTTTTATACGGGAGGCACCATACCCCCCCTCTATAGTAAAGTATTTACTATATAGTACAATTAACCCCGCTACTCCTCCTCCGGCTCCTATTACTCCTATACTAATTATTATATTAGACGGTATACCATTTTCTAGTCAAACCTAACTTTAAAATACTACCGCCTAATTATTAAGAAATTAAGGGATTAATATCTTAGCTAATTCCTATCCTTTTTACTACCTCCCGGATATAGATCTCTCAGAGGAGGTCCTTAAGGCAGAAGCACGTAAGAGGAGGCAGTAGGCTAAGCTCGAATATTTAGAGCAATTACGTAGTAATTTCTATTAGGAAGCTCAGGGCAAAAGTACGTATCTGTCTATTTAACTCCTAATATTAATATATTATTTACTAATTTTATTAGGTTCGGCCCAGAAAAGGGGTAAAGCCTTTGGATCTCTTACTCTCGGCCAGGGGGCACGTATAAAGGCCTTTAGTAAGGGTAAATTAATGATTCCTCCCATTCCTATTATCGAAAAACGATATAAGGTCCTTGTTTCTATTATACTACGTATATATGAAATAGAAGAGATCGAGAGTAGCTTTACTAGGAGAAGTATACCTGCTTTAACTATAAAGAAGTTCCTTAGTTTAGAAGAGTACCAGGAGGCTCAAATTATTCAAATTAAGCTATAGAGCATAGAATAGTTTAATACATACGTAAAGCTTACTTATAGAAACACTACTTTACTAATATTGTTTTTTACTATAGTCAAAAACTAGCATATAAGAAATTTGCTATATATTTAGCCAAGGCTTTTTTATCATTAATTCCGTTACTTGAAGACTAGGAGCTTAATTAATGAATTACGATCTTAGAATACGCAAATAGAGTCTCTTTTGCAAGTAAAGTAAGCTAGTATTTATTAGTATCCTAATAAAATTAGTACTAATATAATTAGGTTTGGCCAAAGGACAAAAACAAGAGAATCGATTATATAACTAATCTTATATATAAAGCTAAAAAAGATATTAATGGCTTATTATCTCATTTTAGCCAATTAAATAAGAGCACGCCAAAGCATATTTATCTTGTATTTAATCAAGATATTAATAAAATTCAGGAAAGAGATAACGAGATTTAGGATAAGCATAAAAGGAGGAATAGGGAGATATCTTTACTAAATTATACCCCTTCTTTAGGGAGATCTCCTGATATTACCCCTAATATGATATCTATA